CTGTGCCTCCTCTGTGAAAGCTCTGGAAGAGCTAACCTGCCGAGCCGACCCTCTGAGCCAAACCTGAAGATTCACAGAGAACCTCCAAGCAGCTCTGGACTTGAGCTGGGTAACCCAAAGCCAAGGTCTGTTCTAAGTAGACGTGAGACGCTGAAGCAGCTACGGACTCTGCTGATGAACTCTTCTCCAGAACCAACAGTGACTCTCCCAAAGCTAACCTCAAGAACCCTCAAGGTACAATCAGTAGACTTCTGGAAATCAAACCTCTGTTGGCAACGCTAACTGAACTGTCTCTCACGCAGACTCCGGTGAACCAGAATCCAGGCCCCGAACCTGAACCAGAATATTCAGTGTGCTTGTGCAAAATAAAACTGTTAAACTTTCGTCCTTGTGTCCGTCAGTGGTGTTCTGCATTCTTGGGTCGCTTTCAGTGAACCCATCATGACAGAATCTCTTTGGTGAACAAAGAAAAAATGCTCAATAGTGGTTGTGGAGAGCCAAAGACGCGCCCTAACGTTCTGAGTCACACTTGGAGATAATGACTTTGATAAATAAGATAAAAATGATCAGGCCATCAGATCCATCAGTGGGATCAAAACCAGCTCCTCCTCCAGGTTGGACTCCAAGCCTAGAAGAAGGCCTGGTAGGCTGAGGCTTACTGAGCTCAGAACTGTGGGCTGATGGACTCTGGTTCAGGTGGCTGCTTGTACCTGACAGCAAAATAATAATCTGCTTCTGTCTCCTTGAACCCCAGTGGGCCTCAGCAGATGGCCGCTCACACTGAGCCTGGTTCTACTGGAGGTTTCTTCCTGTTCAAAGGGAGTTTTTCCTCTCCACTGTCGCTACAAGCATGCTTAGTGTGAGGGATTGCTGAAGAGTCAATGAGTCGATGCAATCAGCTGGTTTTCCTTAGATAGAAAACTTTGAATCAATCTGACTGGATGATCTGGTGAACTGGAAAGTGACCTGAGATGACATGATGTGAATTGGAGCTATAGAAATAAACTGAATAGAACTGAATAATAATGAAAATCTTCAGCTGAACTTTTGGAAACTGTATTTAACGATTTCACATCTGAGCAGCTTTAATTAAGTTTAAAATTGTCCGACTTCAGATGGTTCAGATCATATCAGACATGATAACAAAAGATGGATTCTGTTTCTGGACTATTTTCTGTTTTTTCTTCACTGAAAGTCGCCTCTAAATCTTTGTGACGATTCTGAATCATTGGGTTTCAGGAAACTCCTCTGAGAAGCCTCCTTTTCCTGTGGGTCTGCGGCCGTTCCCGCCAGCCTTTACATTCAGACTCGTACGTTTCCTCATGGTCTGTGGAGCAGAACAAAGGCCTACCTGTGCAGCAGTGAAGGGAAACTTCCCTACAACCTTCCAGCACTTAAGGCCTTGTTGAACCTTTTTTAAAGCTCAGCCGTCTGCACCACCTGCGGCCTCTCAGCAGCCCATCTGCGTCACGCTCCACCTGCCAGGGGCCGCATGCGTGGACCCGGCATGCCGGCCCGGAGGAAACAGATGTTACTTTGTGTTCTGGCTGCTTGGAGTCCACTTGCTTCATGTTTAGATCACAGCTTTCTAGGATGCAGGTTCTATGGAGAGACATTTATTCCAGCATTTTTGAAAACAAAACACCCATTTCAAAAATGGACCTGACTTAAAAAAGGTTTTAAAAGTAATTTATAATGTCTCTGCTCTGCTCCCAAATTCTGGAATTCACCACCACCAGATATTCTTAATATTAACACTTAGCCTCTGTTTATATCAAGGGTAAAAACGCATCTGTTCAAGACTCCACTGACTATCTCAACTTTTTTTAATATATTTTATTTTGCATGATGTGTATCTTGACTGTTTGTTGTATAGTGTCCTTGGGTGATCTGAAAGGCACTTTAAATCAAATATTATTATCTGTAAAAAGCAGAAACAAAGTCCCCCGGTCCTCGAACCAGACCCCCTCCTGTCATTGGCTCTGCCTAGAAATCCTGTGCATAAAGGTGTTACTACCCTAGACAAGGGTCCTACCCGGACAAGCTCCCACATGTTACTACCCTAGCTCAGGGGGTAGGAACAATGATGGGGAGACCACACAAAAGAAAGGTTTCACCATTTATTAAAAGTAAATAAACGTGTTAGGTCAGTGGTGTATGTAATGTTGGGATGCATGAGGTGTGTGAAAGTGTACATGGGTCAAATTAAACTAAAACTGGAGCAGGAGGCCAGAGGAGTCCATGGAGCGCAGAGAGAGCAAGCCATGTGCTCTGTTTCAATTTATAGGAGGCCATTGCAGGTGTGATACTCTCAGGTCCGCCGCCCACTTCCTGGAAGCACAAACCAGAGGAGCCGTCTCTTCACAATAAAGGCGGCCTTGGCCGTCACAAAGGTTATGAGGAAGTCCGGGAACAAGTCCGACCAAATGTCTCTAATGCAGACCAAACTCCTGCTCTGCTGGTATAGGGACCGGATGGCCCCTAGCAAAGAGCTGCTGACTCTGTACTACTGAAGCACCCCCAAAAAAGCACCACGGGGGGACACGGTCAGATGCCTTCTCAAGGTTCACAAAGCACAGGTAGAACAGTTGGGCAAATTCAGAAGCACCCTGAAGGACCCTGCAGAGAGTTTAGAATCCGTCCCCTGGTCCACGGCCAGGATGTGACCACACTGCTCCTCCTGTAGCTGAGGTTCAACAATCGGCCAAGCCTTTATCTCCAGCACCCTGGCATAGGCCTTCCTGGGAGGCTGAGAAGTGTAACCCCCCTATAGTTGGAACACATCCTCTAGTCCCCCTTTTTGTGCATGCAAACAATCACCCCGGTCTGCCAATCCAAGGGAACTGTCCCCAACCTCCATGCAGTGTTTAAGAGGCATGTCAGCCATGATAGCCCAAAAACATTCAGGGCTCTAAGGTACCCAGGGCGGATCTCGTCCTTCATGGAGTCTTTTGACCACCTCTGTGATTTCAGGATTTGTGACAAACAAATTAGTCTCCAAGCACCCTGTCTCTTCTTCCACCACAGAAGTTCTATCATCCAGATTGACGAGATCCTCAAATTATTACTTGTCCAACGATGTCCTCTTTAAAGTTAATGGCTCCCAAACCCCCACTGAAAAAAGAATCCCTTTGACGCCAGCAAACTCTTTGTCCATGGTCTCTCTAAACTCATCCCAGCAACAGTTTTTGCCTTGGCAACCACCCAGGTAATGACACAACATCAAGATACCTGCTTGCTGCTTTGGGAGTTACACAAGCCAACCAGGCTCTATAGGACTCCTTCAGCATGACAGCAACTCTTACCGCCGATGTTCACAACCAAACCCCCACATAGACCTGACGGCCACAGCTACTGGCGGCCGCATCGACAAAAGAGGCAGAGAACACAGTTCATTCAGGCCACACCCTCTAGTGTTCATTATTGTCCAATCACGCCCCTCCAGGTGTGTCTATCATTTCCCATTTTGGAGTTGAGGCCTCCCAGCAGAATGATGGAATCCCCCAGCCAGGCAATGTGTGGAGGACAGTCTAGTCGGTATTGTTCCACCTCCTGCACAAACTGAGGTCTCTTTATAAAGATTTCACCCTCTATCCTTCCAACCAATAGAAATGCTGCTGCTAACATCCAAGCAGAGCAGATTACAGACCAGCCTGTGGAGAAAAGAATGTATTTTGTAAAAAACAAAAACAAAACATAAATAACATTTATGTTAAATGAGGAGGTTATGTCCCCTAAAAAGCCGTTGCGCCCCGGGGGCTTCCTCACGGTTCTTTTCCTAGGAGCAAGTTATTTACTACTCTTAACTCAAACTTGGTAAAACCATGTAAAAAAGGACTATAAAAACAGGAGTAAAAAAGTAACAGAGTTTATTCCAGATCAGGTCGTTACAGGACAGAGAAAATGCTTGGAGCTTGCACAGCTGTGGGCTCAAAAAATCACGTCCCGAGCGTCCGGCAAAGATTGAGTCCCGAACAAGGTCGTCTTCTCCTTCTTATAGCTCATGAGTCCATGTGTTGGATCATGTGGATGTTTAGCTGTCCGTATCAGAAACTGACACGCCATCCATGCCCTGACCTGTATGCATCTTGCCTCCATGCCCAAGAATTACAGATAGCTCTCCTCTATCAGTCCAGCCCAAAGATGTGCCCATATCCTGTGTATCTTTAAAAGACAAGAAAGCTGTGCTATTTAGATGACCTCCATACACACAGTGACATCCACAATGTGAAGGAAGGCCATCTACTCTCTCTATCTGGCTAACAAAGTAACAATGCACATGATGTATAAAGAATAAACCTAACATTTAGAATACAAAATCTGAAAAACTTTAAGAAATAACATGAAAAAGACTGAAAACTATTGATTGAACCTTTGCATACATTTTATAAATAACTCACAAAAGCTTTAAGAAGGTTGTTTCTTTTTTTTAGCATATTTTTTATGTACGATTTTGAAATGTCTCTCCATAGATTTGATAAAGTAACCCCACCAGGTATGGGGGCTTTTACCTGAGGGGTTACATGTAGCTTGGGACAGTTAGCTTGGCTCCTTCCTGCCCACCTGAGGCATCCCCAGGAACCTCTGCAGATGTGTTCTAGAAGAGAGCGACATCGCCGCCGAGTCACAGAGGAAAGATTAGGACTGCTAATGTTCTCTTTGCATAAGGATAAAAAATCCAGCTGAGACTCTTCTGTGGGTTTGGAAGCTGAAAATCCTCAAATTAGAGTCTGGAGAGAAAAAAAAAACAGCCACAGGTCTCAGCTGAAGGCTTTCACCCACAGCTCATGTATCTGCCACACGAAGTCATTAGTGGCGGCGATGCTTCCCTTCAGAGTCTGTGTCCAGAAACACACGGAGGTCTGTGGCCCAGACCTGGATAACAACCCTAACACGCATGTTCTGAATGCTTTCCCGTCTCTCCTGCTGCAGGCAAACATTCAGATTTGTGTCAAAATGTCGTAACTAGATCCGTTCTCTTCTCTCCTTTCTCTGTGCAGGATGAGGGTGTGGTCATGGGAGCTGTTTGGGGAGACAGGTGTGGTCCTCCTCGGCTTTCTGACGCTGGCCACGTCTGTAGGGAACCTCTCCTCCAGAGGCCTGCAGGTACGCTCCCTCCTTCCATTCATCTCATTTGGAAAGTTGCAGGAGAGCAGGGTCCACTTCACCTTACCCTGACAAATCTTCACTCTCCACAACTTCTCCAAATCTGTTTGGATTACCAGGCAGATCGACACAAAGCAGCAACAAAATAAAAATGAAAAAATATCTGAATAGTGCAGTGTACATTGTCGCGGGAAAAAAGTACTATAAGCACTATTCACTCCAGTTAATTAAATGGAGATCGATGGATTTCCCTCAGTCGGCATTTTAATGCATCTTTGCAAAGACAAAACAAGACATCATACAGGCTTTATTGCAATATGTAATCAGCCCTGTTCTGATCTGGCCAGAGTTTGTATCCCTTACTTACAATAATACAATAATGGAAAGAACAGACACTTCGGTTAAACAGCGATTAATTACATGTTATGAATAAATCTTGAGAAAGAATCTGGCTAGTTATGGGAAGAAATATTCCTTGTATCCAAACAGTCCTCACTCAAACATGTTGTGGCCTTGGACCTCTAAAAGTGAATGTATAAAACTCAGCATTTATAAATCTGTATATATATATATATATATATATATATATATATATATATATATATATATATATATATATATATATATATATATATATATATATATATATATATATATGTATATATATATACAGTGGGGAGAACAAGTATTTGATACACTGTTGATTTTTCAGGTTTTCTTGCAAAGCTTGTAGTAGACAAATTTTTATCATAGGTACTCTTGAACTGTGAGTGATGGAATCTAAAACAAAAATCCAGAAAAATACATTGTATGATTTTTAAATAATTAATTTCCATTTTATTGTGTGAAATAAGTATTTGATACACCAGAACAATGAAACTTAATATTTGGTACAGAAACCTTTGTTTGCAATTACAGAGATCAGACGTTTCCTGTAGTTCTTGACCAGGTTTGCACACACTGCAGCAGGGATTTTGGCCCACTCCTCCATACAGATCTCCTCCAGAGGCTTCAGGTTTCGGGGCTGTCGCTGGGCCACACGGACTTTAAGCTCCCTCCAAAGATCGACAACGACAATCTGGACTAACGAGGATCTGGACTAACGAGGATATTACACATTTCACAGGCAGAGTGGATTCTGCTCTTTTTACATTATAACATAAATGGAAGTTTGTAATTTTGATAAAAAGTGAAAAAGTTCAGCTTTAGAGTCTCCAATGGTCTGCAATGGATGCACCATGTCCAGGTGTGTAAACTCCTGCAGACACAAAGAAGTGTTAATATGTCAGTCTGTAGAGTTTTAGTGTCCAGATGAACCATCAGAGCCGTAAATTGGGACTTTCCTCTGGACTCAGGTCTCCCTCCGTCTGGTATTTGCTGAGTTTCCCTCACAGCTGCTCTGTCTCACACCTTTACAAGAAGCTCAGTGTACATTCCAGCAATCCCTCCGATGGATCTGTTTGAATAAATGGATGCAGCCTTGGGCTTGGGTTAATGCTGCTAATCCACACCAGGAATGTGGAAAAAGCCGGATGCCTTCACAAACTGGAGCCTCCGTACAAAAACACGGTGACGCTCCCTCCGCTGGCCGGGATTTGTTCTGGTTCCTGACGCACGCTCCCGTGACAGTCCAACAATCGTCCAGCTGTTGTTGTTACTGTCAGGAGGAGCACCGCAGATTAGGTTGTCTACACACAACGAGGATCGTTTCCAAAACAAAACCTGTTCTGCTGCGTTTGCACCTGTCGTCCACATCGTAATACGCCGCGGGTCCCAGAAGAAAAGACCAAGAGGCTCTTTGCTGAGTCGTCACAGAACCGGTTCGATTCTAAGAAACGATTCAGCAAAACATTAACAATCCTAAGGCCCTTTTTTTCATGATTGACAGATCATCAAACCCTCAATTCAATTCAGCTCATTTCTACAGCGCCAATTCACATCATGTCATCTCAGGTCGATTCAATCAGATCGTCCAGTTACATTGATTCAAATTTTTCCATCTAAGAAAAACCAGCTGATTGCATCGACTCATTGACTCTTCAGCAATCCCTCACACTAAGCATGCTTGTAGCGACAGTGGAGAGGAAAAACTCCCTTTGAACAGGAAGAAACCTGCAGCAGAACCAGGCTAAGTGTGAGCGGCCATCTGCTGAGGCCCACTGGGGTTCAAGGAGACAGAAGCAGACATAGAAAAAGAAGCATAGATACAAAAGGCAACTGTCAACCAGCTCCACAGGCGGCCCCGTCCAGGAAACACACAGCCAGGCAGACGAGCTCCGAGCCAGCTCCCATGTCAGAGGATGAAGAGAGCACATCCAGTTAGTCACAGTCAGAGAAACAGGACTACACTGGAAAACAGGCCAAGCTCCAACATCTAGAAACAAAGGTGTTGATGGCAGCAGCACAGCTGATATTTCTCTCCAGGATGGAGTCACAGCCAAACAGGAACAGACCAGATGAAGCTACTATGAGAAAAAGCAGAGAGAGCAGAACGTTAGAGATTGAACTAACAGATTCTGCAGAGTGGGAGAATAGAGATAGAATGAAGCAGAATGATGAAAAAGGGGTCCCTATGTCCTCCAGCAGTCTAAGCCTATAGCAGCAGAACTATAGAGATAGCTCAGGATAACCTGAGCCGCTCTAACTAGAAGCTTTATCAAAAAGGAAAGTTTTAAGTCTAGCCTTAAAAGTAGACAGGGTGTCTGCCTCACGGACTAAAACTGGTAGTTGGTTCCACAGGAGAGGAGCCTTTTGTGTGTTTGTTTCTTGTTAATGTATTTCCAGTGAGTTTGCACCTCCCATAACTGCAGATTTACCATTTAAGGATGGTTATACAGCCTGCATCCAGGCAGGAGGTGGACCAGCTGGTCCACATGTACCATCAGAACCTTCTGGAGTTCAACTTGTGGAGGGAAAAGTTGATTCAATCTGACCAGATTCTTGTCTGAGTCGACATCAATGCACCATTCAATATGGTTGATCCAACGCTGGAACTGGACTGGTTCAGAGTAACTCCTTTGAGTCATCCTATGGTCCACGCTGACAGAATAAGTTCTAGTTCTGATGATCCAATAATGTGGAGCAAACTCCCAGATTCCCTTTAAGGTGAGGCTAAAGCCTGTTTAATTTAATGCTGCCTTAGATTGTCCAGTTTAACCATGAACTGATCCCACCTTAAATGCCTCTTCATTTCCTTTATCCTGTTTTATGTTTTCATCACTTTGATTGTTTGTTTGATCCTGAAGAATTCAGGAATAAACTTTGAGTTTCTTTATTAACAGAATAATCTCAGAATTAACAAACATCCTCAGTGAGAAGCAAACCGCTGCTAATCGCCTCCATGCTTTGTGGCTGAATTGCCTTTTTCCAGGAGGAGGGTGCAGCTTCCAACAGCCTGGAGGACCAGCAGGAGGTGACCACCTACTGGTGGGGGGAGTGGGCCAAATGGACGGCCTGCACCCGGACCTGCGGAGGGGGGGTGATGTCCCAGGAGCGGCACTGCCTCAAACAGAGGTCTGTCACAGTCAGTCAAACCCCAGAGTTGTGAATTGACATCGATTGGAGGAAAAGTTTAGATCGAGTAGAGAGAGAAAACCCTTTAACTCTGAGTTCTTCTGGAAGTTTACAGTTTGTTTGGTTTGTTTTAACACAACGAAAAGCAGAAAGACATCAGAAGTATTGCCCACCAGTCCAAAATATCTCAGAACTGCGCAGAGTCACAGTGTGAAGCTAAGAGATGAGACAGAAAATACCAGAACATTATTTTCTTATCTTATTCTCTTATTCTTATTTTTAAAGTCGTAGGGAAATCTTATTTCAATGTCAAATCATTCTGACTTAAACATGTATATAAATGTACTCTTTATCAGACAATAAATGTAGAAAATTTGTATTTAAAAAAAAAGTCCTGTCTTAAAATCTGTTTTTTTTTCGTTATCTTCTGCAGGCCAGTTATTTCTACGTCAGCCTGAACACCTAAATTCAGCCAATCATATATCAACGCTCATCTGTCAATCAAATGTTTTCGGTCATAGCATCTTGATTCATGTGTCGCAGCTAATATACGCAACGGTTGAAACCAGAATCCTTTCCTTTCCCATTGAGTTGCGTCCCAGTGTTCACGGGGATGGACGTCTGTGTCTTCGGCAGGCGTAGAGCTAACAGAACTGGCAGCGTTGCGAGGCAAGGGCTCAAACATGTACGGCTGGAAGCCTTCTACACCAAACCAAGCTGATATAATAATAAAAATAGAAACTGATATAATAATCCAGATTTATTCTTAAAAGCTGCAATTATCTAAACTCACATTTCCCCAACAAATTTAAAGACGGTTTTAGAGGTGAAAGATGTTAGACATTATATGAATCTGCAGGTTGTTCTGCTGCTAAAAGCAGATATTTGGGACATTAATCCTACGTTCACACCGGACACGCTTTGAGCATCAAAAAGCATCACATTTTAAGTTCATTTAGGCGTTAATAAACAGTTTCAGAGGAGTGATCATAGCGCTCTGCATCAGCAGTGCTGCGTCTGACTCCCTGCCAGCTCCCAGATCAGCCTCTCTCATTGGTTGATGTGGCGCATCAAAACGTCTATAAGCGCCGCAGGACCTTTTATTGCGCCTTGATGCGCGTCAACCATTGACTTTGCATGTAAACCAGCTGCTTCTGCTTCTGCATTGTGAACGTAGCATTAGACACATTAATTGAACATTTCGGTACACAACAGTGTAGTGATGATCCTCCAAACAATTGATAGCTAAACCTTTTTTTTGGGACACCAAACAAATTCCTTCTCTCTCCACTTGCTAGCTTTTTCTGTCAACATTCCAGGTTGACTTGCAGGACTGGGAAGCAACAAGAAGTCCCAGCCATCACATCCTGTCAGTGGCCGCCATATTGTGCCCCTAGCCAATTGAATAAATAACCCTTTTTGAGACGTAGCAATGTTAAGTCTGGTTAAACAGTAAAATAAGCAATTTGACTTACATTGGTTACTATTTAACAGTGGTAGTTTTGAGATCTTAATGAGATTATAGCTTATTTTATTGTAATATGTGATGTGTAGCTTTTTATTGTTAAATAAACTGTCACAAAAACAGAACAAAGAAATGTGCATTTAACTGATTCCCTTGGGGAGCAGTGGGCTGCCATTGTGCAGCGCCCGGGGAGCAGTGTGGGGTTAAGGGTCTTTGCTCAGTGACACAAAGTGGCAGTCTGTGGGAGTGGGTTTTGAACCCAGGATTCCAAGCTTTATGCTCTAACCTGACTCCGCCAGATGGATTTGCTCCGCATATCCATCTGGAAACCTTCCGTTGAAGTAATTTTGGGAAGGGGTGAAAATACTGGTTAGCTGATTGGCCTATGTTGGTGATAGACGGGCCAAATAAACCAATCAGATCAACGAAGCATATGACGTACTAACAGAGCGACAACGAAGAGGAGCCAATTGATAGATCAAACTCTTGCCGAAACCAGTCGGGATAAGAGCAAAAACATCTTTTCCTCTGAGAAAAGCCTCCAGATCAGTGTTTTGCTCTTCTTTCCGTGAAGAAATACTCTGTAATTCCCATAAAACTTGCTTGATAGCCACGCTAACGCTAGTTTCATCGGCTGAAGCCGCCATGTTCTTTAGACTGAACTGTCGCGCTTCTCGTTGCGTCACACCTCAACCCGCCTCAAAGCCAACGCTGATTGGACGTTCGTTTGGTGAACGGCTCCAAATTTTCTTTAGCGGAGAGTCTCCAGACTGATCTGCGAGTGAAACCTTGAAAGCTCGCGAGATCAGGATGGTCTCACGAGGCTACATGTTAACTGGGTGGCAGAGAAATCCTTTTAGTAAACCAAACTGTGGTGAGAAAAGTTTTCTAAGTTGTGAAACAATAATAACAGAAATCAGAGAGTTGATCATAAAAGTCGGTCCTGATTGGGTTAACATGGCCTCTGGTTTTATTGTGTCTTCATAAAAGCTTCATCCTTTAGGTTTATTTCTGCTGGAATATGTGTTTGGTTGATTGAGCCTAATATTGCAATAGGAGAGTTTAATATGTCCATGGAGGGAAAGCTGTCAGCGTTTTCCTCCTGTTCTCAGCCTCTTCTTTACGTTTTAATGTGCTGCTGTTTGTTTTCTGTCCAAAGAAAGAAAGTCACCGCTGGGAAGGACAACATGACCTGCACAGGAACGGCCAAGAAATATCATCTGTGCAACACCGTAGTGAGTGTCAGACCTCTTCTTCCTCAGTTCACTTCAGGTTTCTGATCCAACAACCAGGGCTGCTTCAGTAGAACGGAGTGGGATTCAAACCGTCAACTGTCCCAGAGCAAATGAAAGAGCCAGAGGGCCGGTCCTAGTCTGATAGCAGCACAGCTGGGATCTTCTCCTGGCTTCATTCATCCTGGTCTGCATGGTTCAGCCCAGAGTAAAAACCTGAATCCTTCTCCGTTTCGATTTTTTTCAATTTTTTCCTTTAAGGTTCATGGAAAGTTTGACAACAAACAACCAGAAACTTTGACCAAGATCTACACCTGAGTCCATGCATTTATTAAAATACAAACAGTTGGGAAAAAAAAGATTTAAATGACCTAAAATGTTTTAAAAATGAGGAAACTGTGACACATCTTTATGTCTCACACTGCAAAAAATGGAAATCTAAATGAGTCATTTTTGCTTAAATTAATTCATTTTTCTTGAATTGAGAAAATTTGCAACTAGAACAAGACAATTTACATTTAAAATGAGAAAAAGACTATTGCTTTGTCTTATTTCAAGTGCATATTATCTAATTATCTTGTTTTAGGTGTAGAAATACTAAATCCATTGGCAAATCATCTTATTTATCTGCTAAAATTGAGGGTAAATACACTCAATTTAAGAATATTTTTTCACCTAATTCTAGATGGTTTTTGCAGTGCAGGTCTTCAGTTGGTCACTGGAAAAAAAATAAAATCTAGAGAAGTCATTTTTTCTTAAAATAAGTGGATTTGTTCTTGGATTTAGGAGCTGAAAGAGACATTTTGCCAACGGAACATTTACAACATTGACAATTTACACTTAAAATAAGAAAACATAATCACATTAATTTAAGAAATGTCAGTTTTTCCAGTGGTCACAGCTCCCCTTCTAAGTTAAACTAAACAATGACTCCATGTTTGAATTTGTACAATTTGTCCCAAATGTTGGACAGAACTGACTTCATGGTGGTTCTTCTGCAGACGGACCTGATTAACCCTTTATGGTGGCTGTGTTGACAGGACTGTCCTGCCTCTGGGAGGAGCTTCAGAGAGGAGCAGTGTTGGTCCTTTAACTCACAGCGCTACAGCGGGAGAAACTACCAATGGAAACCGCTCTATCCTGGTAATAAGTGATGCATTTCAGAAATTCCTAATCTGATATATACTTAGTGAAAAATGGAGGATTAAAAGTCTGCCACATTAAACAGATTTTCTTAAATGTATTCTATAACTGCTGGCAGCATCCATTTGTAGGAGTTCAGTTTGTCGGACCAATTATTGCGATAAAGGGGGCAGAAATTCACAACACTGAGCAGCAAAGAAATGTAGCGGTAGCAGTGGTTTAGCATAAACATATATTTATTAAATAATTATAAAATTTGAGTGAAGATTTTAATTTTCAACATAATTCAATTCTATTCAGTTTATTTCTATAGCTCTGATTCACATCATGTCATCTCAGGTCACTTTCCAGTTCACCAGATCATCCAGTCAGATTGATTCAAAGTTTTCTATCTAAGGAAAACCAGCTGATTGCATCGACTCATTGACTCTTCAGCAATCCCTCACACTAAGCATGCTTGTAGCGACAGTGGAGAGGAAAAACTCCCTTTGAACAGGAAGAAACCTCCAGCAGAACCAGGCTCAGTGTGAGCGGCCATCTGCTGAGGCCCACTGGGGTTCAAGGAGACAGAAGCAGACATAGAAAAAGAAGCATAGATACAAAAGGCAACTGTCAACCAGCTCCACAGGCGGCCCCAGGAGACATACTGAGATATAAAAACTAATTTCTGTTTAATTTAACATCTAAATGACAAAAAATGCAGATAAGTTGAAGGATATGATATAAATTTAGGAGTTAAAGGTTTGGGTAACACGTCTGAAGGAGACTAGTCAAAGCTGCTCTGTCGGCGTTGGAAACATGGTATCAGACGCCATAGTGTCTTTGTTCACTTCTCTCCTCAGCAGCTTAGCATCTCCAGAAGAGCTTCTCCTGATGTGGATAAGTCGGATCTGTTGGTGCTGTTCTGACTGCAGCTTTTAAAGGCCAGAGCACACAGTACAGAATCTGATTTTCAGCTGATTCGACAGAGAATTGTGTCAGAAGAGGTCGTAGCGTTTAGCACTCATTGAAAGTCAGTGGAGATGGTCACAGCTGACACGATTTCCTGCAGGGGGCGGCAAAGCTCCAACTGAGATCGAGCCCTGGGCCTATTTAACTCAGACTACGCAGCAATTCAGCAGCAATTTAATGGGTCTGACAGGAAGAGAGACTCAGTTACAAAGTAAAACGCTTTGGGGGAAAATACAAAATAAAATCTGTTAATCTCATGAGGAAAGAGTCAGTTTGGAGTCGCACATTCCGTATATAGTAATGCCCCTGTCACACCTTAACGATTTAGCCAAGCATATGCCTGACTAACAGAAAATCTGCCAAAAAACGCTGGTCTACGTTGGATAAGTTATGGGTACGTTTTGTAGAAGCGATGAGCACACTGAGACACGCTGGAACATGTCAACATACAGCAAGTACCTCGAGATACCGTCGTATTGTCATGATTTAACTAAGGTCTGACCCCAAGATGCAGAAGACCAAACAGAGAGACCAGGGAAAAGTTTAAACAGGTTTATTTAGTAATGATGTGATGAATCCAATGCTGCTCTGAGCACTGCTCAACAGGGATTCTTCAGGGAAAGGTGTCCTTTAAGGTATCCGGACTGTGAGGATAGTACCAGAGATTGTCTCGTTGGGTGATGGGTGGACTGGGTTACTCAGACTGCGATTGTTCCCGGGTAAATGGAGAAGCTGACTGCCACTCAGATTTCCTGCGGTACTTGAACGGGCTGCGGTGCAGATGAAACCTTTGCTTGGTGTGAAGCTCAAACTACCTCTTGGGGAAAATGGATCCAAACCTCCTGTTTGGAACCCCAGCTCAGTTAGAAGCTCAGTTGAACCTTCCAGAGAGAGAGAAGGACTGAACAAATCCAGTTTGCAGGATGACTTCCTACCGAGAGGCAAAGACAAAAAAACAAAGTTAAGACTCAACTTAAGACTCAACTTAAGACAACAACTCAGTTTGACTCAGAAAAACTCAGCTTGGCTAGAGAATCCACCACTAGCAAACACAAACTCAGGTTAGACTCTGCTGAACTAAGCATGGCTAGAGTACCCTGCATTGGCAAACACTCAGCCCCGAGGTAGTGGCAGTCAGCAGCTTAATCCTCCACAGTTAATGAGGCAATGAGCTGCAGGTGTGCAGGGAGACCTAATGAGGACGGGGCACCACCTGGTGGCAGAGGAAAGGAAACACAAAAACAGACCACACAAACTGGATTCCTGACTCGTATGCCAGCGTCTGCCATCCTTAGGCCGTCGGTTCCAGGTCAGTTATCTGATGGCTGACATCCGTTCAGCATCAGTTCCTCATCAGTCGTGGCGTCTAGCTGATCCTAAACCTCTGAGTAACTTCTGCCTAACTTCTGCGTAAATTATCAAGAACTTCTTTCCAACGCATATCAACGTATCTGACGTGTTCCAGACGAGCGCTGAACGTGTTTCTAACTTCCAGCTACTGTATAATGGCGTATCTCAATCTGCTGCTCTTTCTTTTTTATCCTTTTTTTTTTTTTTTTGGCGGGCGGTAAACAGCAGCTAGGTTAATACAGCGATCAAAGCCATCTTTTTCTGCAGCCCGGGTGCCTCCGGACTGGCTTGTGCATCATATCATGGGCATGATGCTGCCGTGCATTATGCATAAGTTACACACCCAAGTTATAAACCCAAAATTGAAAAAATACATAGAAAGTTCATCGTACGCCAGCGTTTCAGGAGATTCTGGGAGGTCAGGCATACGCTGGATAAATCAATCAGCAAGGTGTGACACGGCCCCAAACAGGACAGACTGGGGAAAAACAATGAATGAAGCGTTAAAAAAAAGAAATCTTTACCCATGATGGGAGTTCAGGAGGACAGAAAACGGATAAACCAAAATAATGAGGGTCAGACAGAGCAGGTAAGCTCAACGTATCTCTCTCAGCTCTTAGATAAAGTTCTCAGATCTCTCTGAGAATCCCCTGTCTGCCTCAGTCAGCATAGAAACCATCCAAAGCCGTTATGGGATATAGTTTTAATGTGTGTGTAACACAGAGACAGAGGTGAAAGCAGTCTGCTCAGATCTGCTCACCCTGCCTAGTCAGAGCCTCTCTATATGCAGTCAGTGCTACATGGAAAACAATCCGATCGGAGATTAAAAATTGGACGCAGCCACTGCGTTCGGGCCTTAAACCTGTTCTTCCAACAACGCTTTGGGTTTTATTCCTACTTTGCTGAAATTAAAAGGTCCTGAGGGAGCTGGAGGCAGGGCCAACGTCATTTAGAGTTCAGAGTAAATACCCACTTCATGTCTGTTGCCTTTAGCCTGAGGAGACGGAAAGATATAACGATGTCCCGTGTCCCCGTCCCTGTCTTTAGATGATTACGTCCATATCTCCAGCAACCCCTGTGACCTCCACTGCACCACCACCGACGGCCAGAGGCAGCTGATGGTGACGGCGCGAGACGGCACGTCCTGCAAGTACAGCAGCTACCGGGGCGTCTGTGTGGAAGGTACGTGTGAGGTGAGTGCCAGTTGTTTCTAACCTCCCAGCTGTCAGCTTCTAGTGCCAGGCAGGGCTAGGCTTCTCCGGGACGGGCTCCAGGACCGGAGGAAGCAAAAACAGCTTCATTTGGAACCTTGCTATCATTGAATAGGGTTCAACATGATGTTATCACATCATTTAAAGCTACAACAGTCTCAGCTTGCTTTCCATGAGGTTCAGCAGTGTCTCTGAAGTACACTGGTGAGGTCAGACACTGGTGTGGGCTGAAAAACAATCCTCGCAGGAACCACTCAATTTATCTGAAAGGTGCTTAAGGGTTAGATATTTAGCTTTAACTGAAAGATCAGCTACTGGTGCTAAACTCTGACAGATCAAAAGCAGCACTGGTTTGGCTTCCACCTCTGTTTTCTTCCAAGTTTCAGAATTGTTGAGATCTCAGTTCATTTTAACTGCAGTAAGGAGCTCAACAGATAAAACTCGGCTTGTAAAGCATCTGCCCAGATTGATTGAACTGCCTAATAGAAGGAATGTGTCCCTTTTATTTACTGTAGATGCAGGGGTGGATTTAGGGAATTTGGGGCCCTAGGCAAAGACAGGCAGGGGGCCCTCTGAGTTAAGACAACACATCAAACAGCCCCATTATAGAGATATAGAAATGTTAATAGAATAGACATCCATTCTCTGTTCTAGGTTGTGTCCCTCTCTTCTTGTCCCTTTTCTTCTTGTTTTCCTCTCTATGTTTTGTACTCAGCTGACTTTTCATGCTGTCTCTAAAGGAATGAAAGATTTTTTCCAAGCACTAAGCTCACTTAGCTGATTGCTCCTTCCTGTGTTTCCAAAAAGGCCAAAGTAAATAACCCAGTCCTTCTTTTCACTGTAGACAAGCCATGATCTGCTTATCTGTTCTCCATTTTTCATTTGGATGAAATAATAGCTGCATGAATCATGACAGCAGACAAGATAGAGGAGAGCAGGAGGCGGGGTTACCAATCTACTCGCTCTGGAGAGCAGAGTTCGCTGCTTTTAGATGTTGTCTCCAAAGTAGCAGAAAAAAGTCTCTAGATTTGGCGCTAGGAGCTTTTTAGAAATCAAAGTGCTAGAGGGGTCTGAAAAGTCGCTCTCAGACCAGTTGTTTCTGTCTGACAGGTTGGTGGATGGAACAATATGGCAAGTCAGGTAGATGGTGATGAGGAAGAAAGGACAACAGTTTGAAATGGGAAAGAGACAGATAGAGGAGGTAAAAGGGCATTTGAAAATCAAGGAAATAAAGTGGAATTTGAAGAAAGCTGTTTAAATGAATAAAGAGTTGTAGGAAGAAAGGTTGTCAGAGAAGAGATAAAATAACATTTAGACTCAGTGCTGAAGATAAACAGTCATTTGATCTGCAGTTTGATTTCCAAGGAAATAAGTAAAAAAAATTAGGGAAGTCGAATTAGTGAAGGACTTGAGGGATGGAAACTTGCTGGTAATTTGCAAAAATGAGGAGCAAAAAAGCAAAGCATTGGATGTTGAACACTAAGGAAAAGGAGGTCATAGAGATAAAAGTCATAGGAGAGAATAAAACAGTGAAAGGAGTGATAACAGGAATTAACAAGAATTTAGAGGTCGGTTAAGAAGCTACAGAGGCTGCATAAAAACATAGTCGTCGGTTCTACCTGAAAGAGTTAAAACAGGTTGGATGAGTTTCAGACCGTTTGTTCCACCTCCACTCAGGTGCTACAGGTGGCAGAGCTATGGACGCCTGGCAGCAGTTTGTAGGGGAAAGAAAAGGTGTTGAACATGTGGAGGAGAAGACAGAATGGAGGAGATCAGGGAAGAAACTAAAGAAAGGTGCTGCAGCTGTGGAGGCCAGCACAGACTTAACTATGGAGGATGGGAGGAGAGAAACAAAGCTGTGGAAATGAAACATGTTAAATAACAAATATAAGCTACGCAGAAGCAGGGAAGAGAGTTCAAGGACAAAGGAAGGAGACATTATTCACTATAACAGTAGAGAAACTCATTTTATTTATAGTCATGAAGTGTTCAGACCAACCAAGAATAAGACAGAGAAAATTAGGATAATTCAGAGTAGATAAAAAGTTTTTGGGACCCAAAGAAGTTGGAAAATACAGTTACAAGGTTGTAGATGGAGGGAAGAACAAGAGCATCTGGAACATACATTTTAATTCAATTCAATTCAGTTCATTTCTATAGCTCCAATTCACTTTCCAGTTCACCAGATCATCCAGTCAGATTGATTCAAAGTTTTCTCTCTAAGGAAAACCAGCTGATTGCCTCGACTCATTGACTCTTCAGCAATCCCTCACACTAAGCATGCTTGTAGCGACAGTGGAGAGGAAAAACTCCCTTTGAACAGGAAGAAACCTCCAGCAGAACCAGGCTCAGTGTGAGCGGCCATCTGCTGAGGCCCACTGGGGTTCAAGGAGACAGAAGCAGACATAGAAAAAGAAGCATAGATACAAAAAGCAACTGTCAACCAGCTCCACAGGCGGCCCCGTCCAGGAAACACACAGCCAGGCAGACGAGCTCCGAGCCAGCTCCCATGTCAGAGGATGAAGAGAGCACAGAGTGGGAGAATAGAGATAGAATGAAGCAGAATGATGAAAAAGTGGTCCCTATGTCCTCCAGCAGTCTAAGCCTATAGCAGCAGAACTATAGAGATAGCTCAGGATAACCTGAGCCACTCTAACTAGAAGCTTTATCAAAAAGGAAAGTTTTAAGCCTAGCCTTAAAAGTAGACAGGGTGTCTGCCTCACGGACTAAATATATCAAGATAAACATCAAGAATATCATAAACTATTAAGATATTGTTAATGATAAATAGCAATTCTAGTAGATAAAGATAGAGGATATTGGTTTATTATTTTATTGATATAAAGTAGAGTATATATAATGAATGTGTTAGTATAGTGTCATTTTGTTCCAGTATCCATACCAGTAGATGGCAGTAATATACTTTTAAATTGTTAAATTTAAACATCACAACAGAAGAAGATGTAAAGGATTCTTTATCTACAGTCCAGATAACATCCTCACTTTGAATATCAAAGCCTTCAGTGAATTAGCATACAGAGGATGCCTCTGCATGCAGAGGAATCATTCCAACAAAAACTCAGATCTAGACCTTAAACTCCATTATATATTTCTAACGAGAAACAACTGCATTTCACAGGATGCACTGCAAAAAATAGAAATCTATATAAGTAATTTTTTCCTAAAATAAATGTGTTTTTCTTGAATTGAGACAAAACAAGGCAATTTAATTTTAAAATAAGAAAAAACTTATTTCAACTGCATATAATCTAATTATCATATTTTAAGAGTTAAGAAACTCATTCCACTGGCAAATCATCTTATTTACCTTCTCAGATTAACGGTAAATACATTTAATTTCAGAAATATTTACTTATTTCGAGATCATTTTTACAGTGCAAAGAATTATTTATTGAAATGAAACGGAAGGAATACACCTTTAATACACTACACAACTTCTCAAATTAATTTGAGTAGGAAAATTAGATGATCTACCAATGAATGATTATGTTTACCCTTAAAATAAGATAGTTCGATATTATTCACTAGAAATAAGAGACTATAGTTGTTTTTTCCAATTTTGAATGTAAATTGTCTTCTTCTGTTGACAAAGTGTCTCACCTGCTTAATTCAAGAAAAATGCACTTATTTTAATAACAAATTACGTTTTTGCAGCTTAACTATGAGAACCAATTGATAATTTATTATCTGTGCATTATTATTTAGACATATAAACAAAACCATATATAAACTAATGGAAGATCAGAATTAGGATTAAGCTACTTTAAATCTAAGATGATGAGAAAAAGTTAATGAGGTTCTCTCAAACCAAAGGCAGTTTTATAAGGTCTAGGTCTGAGTCCTTATTGGAGCTCCATCAGGTCTTTCTGGAACTTGTTGGGACATTTAGAGACTTTAAGCGTTTATTAAAGTGGAGCTAAGGACCCAGAGCCTGTTTCCTGGGAAGTCCAAAGAAGTTCTTAAGTGAATAAAAACAATCCACTGGACTTTGCTCCCAAGTTTGCAGACGTTTCTTTTCACATCCAGAAAGCTTTTTCAATTCAAAATGTCAGAATAAGCGTTGAGTTCGTAGCTTAATAGAGTGGATCAAAAACTTGTTTTTGATTAGAAAACATGCAAAATTGAACCATGTGAGTCGTTTTGGCTTCTTTGTTAGCCTGTAATACATGATACTGGTCTATGTCTCTGAAAGGGGGAATTGTTGGCTTGGCTGCCCAGACATGATGTTTTGTCCCCTGCATGGAGGTGGGGGGGGGTTGAAATGATAGCAGCAAGGACGAAACTCCAACAAGAAGAAGAACTTCCTTGTTTGTGCATGAGCAGTGCTCGAGATTCTGGTAAATCGGTTCGTAGCTCTGCTTCAACAGCAGGATTTCTTTACAAACACCTCAAGATGGCCGACTGAATTTCAATTATGTTTGATTTTACTGATCGGAAGGTCATGAGAGGCTGATCGCCCCTGGTTACCCTCTGTACACTACGTGAAGCACGATCAGGCTGAAAGTCGGCCCGATTGAAAAAATTCTCACACGACAGGAGAATCGACCTTAAAAGCCATACAGTGTATGCCCGGCTTAATGTCGGTTCTTCTTTCTTAACATAAATGGAAAACACCTGCAGCATGACGACGTGGATGCAAATTTATCCTGACGTCTTTACTCAAAGCTAACCATTTTAGATATTAAAACCTATTTGCTGCATTGTTTCATATAAATACCTTTATTGTCCCAAAATGGGACAGATTCCCTCTCTGCATTTAACCCATCCACCTGGGGAGCAGTGGCAGCCATTGTGCAGCACCCGGGGAGCAGTTTGGGGTTTGCTCAGGAACCCAGAGTGCAGACTGTTGGGATCGAACCAGGTACTTGCAACCTTCTCACAGCACCACTGGGCCAACACCCCCATAAGGGTACAAACATGTTCAGTACGAGAACAAACACTTTCCCACTGGTTATAATCTGTGACCATGCTTATAGTGGCTCTGCTGGTGGCCTGCCTGAGGAGCCACGTGTGTTTTAAAGCCGACATTCATCATCTTTATCCTCATTTTCTGTTCCTCATAAAAGTATAGTATTTGTTTCATGGCTCGGTGCTACCTAAACCATAAATTCCCTTCCCTGCTCTTTACTCTTGACACAGAGCAGCCAGCCAAGAGCAGCTCTCCCTGAAACAGAGGTGCATGTGTCTGTTCGTTCTCCTCTTCAGAGAACATGTCTCCAACCTTTGTGACGTACGTGGCTGGACGAAGCTGGAGGCTCATGGAAACTTGAGTTTTCAGCTAATTTGGAGGCTTTAGGTCTGCAGCTGTTAAATTTACTCTGGGATTTTACCAGTTAATGTCTGAGTGGCTGTCGTTCCCAGTCCGCTATGACAGAAATATGACTGGATAGAAGTAAACTGGAAAAACCTTGTACTCATTGATGCTTGGTTTAGACATGATGCGTCTACTTTTCACATTGCTGACGCAGTGTTTGTAGCTTTTTATGTTCCCTGAGGCTCTTCTTCCCTGTACCCAGGGGGGATTTACCATTAGGCTAGGCAGTTGCCTACTGTAGGGCCCCAAGTTCCTGGGGGCCCCATAAAACTCTGTTTACATGTATAGTTAATACAACTAGTCCTTATTTGTGCACATTTTTGTGCCTTTTTGATAAAAATCCTATAATTATTAAGTGTATAATGGCTCTGTTTTATGTCTTTGTGCCTCTGAATACCACCTGTATTTAAGAGCTCATACTAGGAAAAATAAAAACATTGATGTCTGTCTCCTGCTTCCATTTTCACTTCCCAGCCGATCGGCTGCGACGGCGTTCTGTTCTCATCCAACACTTTGGATAAGTGTGGTGTTTGCCGGGGAGACGGCAGCAGCTGCAGCAGAGTCACCGGCAACTTTCGGCGAGGAGCCACCACTCTGGGTGAGCCTCTGTAGGCTTTGATTCTGTCGTTTATTTAGCAGACGCCAAGAGAAAGGCCTACGTTTCTCACTATTCCCTCTGGTTCAGGTTATTCTTTCATCACCCAAATCCCTGAGGGGTCCTGGGATATCCAGATCATCGAGAGGAAAAAGTCAGCCGACGTTCTCGGTACGCTCTCAGACAAAGTTCAGATGGGTAACGTTCTCTCTCTCCAGCATCTTTGTTGTTCTAGATTTTCCATTTTTGCTTTGTTCTAGCGGTGACCGACCAGGCGGGAAACTTCTTCTTTAATGGCGCCTACAAGCTGGATAGTCCCCAGAACTTCCATGCAGCAGGAACCATCTTTAAATACAGACGGCCCATGGACGTGTATGAGACCGGGATTGAGTACATCGTTGCCAAAGGTCCCATCGACCAGGCGATAAATATTCTGGTACGTCCACATCGACCTGGGTTATTTTGAACTACAGACCTTGTGACTTCATTCTCATGGGCTCTGGTCTGAACACAGGTGTGGAACCAGAACGGCCGAACGCCTTACATCACCTACGAATACACTGTCCTGCGGGACTCCCTGCCTCCTGTTCCTCCTCCTCCGGTCTACACGGGATCAGACGCCTCAGCTGGTGAAGCGTCTATGGAAGAAGATGGCGTCACGCCCCCTAATGCCAGTGTTTATGACCAGGACGTCCCAGGAGGCCATTTTGCGACGGATGAGGCAGATGGACAGAAGGGCCAGGAGACCAACGAGGTGTTTGAAGAGACCACAGCAATCGACTGTGATGAGGACAAAGCGGGCGTACCCAAAGCTCCAGGTGAGGACGAGTGGTTTATGGTTTATGGTTCAAATCTGACCAGGAGTCTTTCAGTCTTCTCAAATACAATGTTTGGCAGGCTGACAAGAAATTACATATTACCCCCCACACACTGGCAGTGCGCTTTCACTGGGAATCCCGAGCAGCAGCTGCCTCTGGCCCGGCCGCATCTTCGCAGTTTTCCGCTACTATTAGTGGAGTCTGGACCAGAATAATAAAATCGAACATATTTTGCCGGCAGGTTTCTACATTCTAAGTTAATTTAGGCGTTAATAAACTGTTTCAGAGGAGTGATCATAGCGCTCTGCATCAGCAGTGCTGTGTCTGACTCCCTGCCAGCTCCCAGATCAGCTTCTCTCATTGGTTGATGTGGTGTGTCCAGCACCTAAAGTTAAATGTTCCGAACTCCAGCTGCTGGTTCTGAAGTGTCAGATGCTCAGAAGCTCATGATGCGCCGCTTCAGCTGCTCTAGATGCGCTGCAGGACCTTATGCTGCCCCTTGATAGCGTCAACCATTGACTTTGCATATAAACTAGCTGCTCCTGCTGCCTCTGCTGCTTGCTGTCTGAACGTAGCATAATAGATCATTTATTAGGGACCTGTGCAAGACTTCCTTCATCACCACACTGGAAAAAATGGAAATCTAGATAAGTCATTTTTTCTTAAAATAAGTGTATTTGTTCTTGGATTGAGTAGGTAAAATAGACATCTTGCCAATGGAACAAGACAATTTACACTTAAAATAGGAAAACACAATTGCATTATCTTATTTCAAGTGTATTTTATCTAATTATCTTATTCTAAGAGTAAAAATTCTCATTCCATTGGCAAAGTCTCTCATTTACCTACTCAAATTAAGGGTAAATACACTTAATTGAAGACATTTTTACTTATTTCTAGATTGTATGTCCAGTGCAGATGACTGCATGACCCTTCCTAACTTAGTGGCCTTAAAAAGGACTCAATTGGTTCAGAAGCTGAGGGCTGAGCTCGGTCTCGTCTGTGATTTGCAGCGAAACAAACATGGTGAGCAGAGTGATCCCAGTGATGACCGCTTTGTGAGGGTCGTCTGTCTCTTCAACAGCTTTAGGAAATAGGAGAATTTTCTTTAAGACCAATCAGACAATGCCTTATGTCCATTTTTTTAATTCATTAAAGTTTTTATTACCCCTCAAAATGGAGAAAACTATGATTTATTTTCATTTTCCATTATAAGAAAATAATTCAATTTATTGTCAGTCCCTTAAGCAGGCATACAGTGTGCAATTCTTTGACTTTTCAGGCCGATTCTCCAGTCGTGTGAGAATCTTTCGATCGGGCCGACTATCAGCCTGATGGTGTGTGGTGTAGCGTACAGGGGGTAACGAGGGGCGATCAGCCTCTAACGACCGCCTCACCATCACGAACCGTAAAATTGGGAGAAAATCAAACATGTTTGAAATTCAGTCGTCCGTCGTAAGGTGGTCGTGGGCAAATCGTTCAGAGAGCAAACAAGGATTTTTCTTCTTCCACTCAGTAGATTGTAGCGTCGGGTTGCAAAGTGTGAGAACATACATTGCGAGCTTTGAACTCAAACTGTAAGACGAAAACCTGCGGTTTCGTCTTACAGTTTGAGCTGTAGCTGCTCCTCCATCTCCGCCCCGCAGCGCTCCAGACCTCCTTCGCAAAGCAAAGCCTACAGCCTCCGCTGTTCCTCCCCTATTGCTGCACTCCGACTTATCATGTGCAATATTATCATTAAATTAATTTGAGCAAAACATGCAGGAATGAACGCTTAATTTAAAATGACAGGTTAAAAAATCTCAATCAGCATCCAGCAGATGTTCGGTTTCTGATGGAGATGAAAAATCTGCTTCCTGGTCTGTTGAAGAACCAATAGTTTGCATCCAATCTTTTTAAATCAATGGTGTTAGTTTTTTGAAATATAGATGAATTATGCTCTAATTTCTAGTTACCGATCTGTTGTTACTATATTTTAATTTGACAAACCGGATCTTCTCGCCGTTCTATTTCCTGTTTGGTGCGATTTCAATAGAGGATCTTGCCCTGGCCGGAGCGGAGCGGATCCTGCACTGTCGCTACCCGGTCCCAGAAACACGATCCGTTCTGCGCATGCTCCATCAGCTCATTTGTTCATCCAGATATACACCCAGGTCATCCTCGATTTTATTTAGTTAAACATACCTAAATGATGTTTTCCCTGCCCAAAAACAGTAAAAATACTAAAATATAATATGTTTAAGATTAATAATGTATTTCCTGAGAAAATAAATGCCTTAAAATCCTTTCTGTTTTATCACTCTATGCCCAATCTGCACTGTTAATGGGATCCTACGCTACTCCCGGTGGCTAACTTTTTCGGCTTTGGATTTAAATATGAATCTAGTCTTTTTGAATTTTATGTTTTCGTTTCGTTTTAACCTCATGGTATATAGCGCGTAATCTAAAGAAAGAAACAACTAAAATGCAGATAAACATGGTTTAATCAGATTTACTGCTCTGAGCATGTCTGATGAAGTCAGAAAATATTTAGAGAATAAAGTCGTAACATTACGAGATAAAGTCATCAAACCACCACCTGTTTCAGAAAGAAAGCTTGGAGCTCCGCCCAGCAGATGACGGCCGACCAGCTCCACCAATCAGCAACCAGAGTCCACTTTGACATCCTGCCCAGTTTGATGCTGCTGCTAAAAGATTTCCTTATTTGTCAAAGTAGAACTTCACATGATGCTCCACATTCCTCATTTTAGGGAAGAAAGGGCTTCTTGGAAGAGTTTCATAAAATACAACTTTATTCTTATAATTCTACAACTTTATTCTCGAAATAGAAGGAAAAAGATCTCTTGCCAGGCTCTAATACTCCGTCATACGAAATAGAGTTTATTAGCAGAAAAAAATGATTTATTTGTAAGTCAAACTTTAAAGAAGGAACTTTCACTTTTTTAAAACAACTATTTTTTTCACCCCAAAACTGTATTTAGACAGAAGTGGCTCCGCCCTCTTTCTTAATGCTTCTCCAACTATTTCATCATAAGAAGCTAAATGTTTTTTGTTTTTTTATCAATACTTCAATGTTTTCTAACTAAATAATAAGTCAGTTTATTGTTTACATGTTTAATAGAATCTAAACGATGAAAGCTAAGTAAATCACCAAGTAAAACTACCAACTGTTGTTATGATGCCATGAAATGCAATCAAAACTTCCTTATTTAAATCCTAAACTGCTCCATTAAAGCAGCAGTGAACTGATTCTCTATGCAGATTAAATCAGAGGTTAGAAAATAAACCCTCAGAGTTTATTCTGTCTCTTCGGTGGACGAGAAAAGATCTGTCCAGTTTTACCAGCCTCCCTTCATGCTCCATTTTCTGCATGTGTGGGAGATGGCCCTTCCAGCTTTGCATTATTTATTTCATAGAAACAAAAAATAGACCAAGGTCGATAAAAAATTCAGAATTTTGTGGCGTTTTTGTCTTTTAAAAATGGCTGCATCACAAACATGAGTGCTAATGGCCTTCCTGTGGGCTCTCAGGCTGCTCGGCTGGATCTCAGCTGCATGCTCACCCCTGCAGGACCAAGACACGCTCTCTTAGAGATGACATCATGTTTCCACAGCAAACCCTAGGAGCCAGACACGTATCATGACATTTTTCAGTGCAGCTTTTCCAGCTTTTTGACTCTTAGCTTTCTTCCTGCAAACACCTTAAGAAGTCTGGTGTCGTTATCATGTTTTTGGTTCCTAAATTGTCCATCAACCCATCTCTGGGGATAAGGGAGTGTTGGCCTAGAGCAGAGGTCACGGATTAGCTGATCCACCTGCTGGCTAATCTGGACCCAACCTGATTTAAAACTTTTATAAATTACCGCATGTTGTCTGATGGCAGTGTCTAACTTCCCTTGCGCCTCTTCTCCCGTTAATACGGTAAATCCCTGGGGAGCGTCCGGCTCCAGGCTGCACGTGATCCAAATGAGCCAATGAGCTGTCAGTCTGGGTTGCTGCTGCTGCTACTTTTAGACACAGCAGGCAAACCTGTGGCAAGCCGGGCGATGGGAACGAAGGAGAAGACGATGGAGCAGCCCACTGCTCCCAAAGGGGACGGGTCAAATGCAGAGATGGATTTACATTTACATTTATGTCAGGTCAGATACCTGGGTTCACTATAACTAGCCTTCACCTCTTAATGAAGCTAAAACACAGAAGCATCAGAAATCCTGCAGATGAAGGAAAAGATCATATTTTCCATTTTGTTCCATGTCCAGGGAACCAAAGCCACAGCACCATCAAACCTCCCCCTGCGGGTGGACCTCTGGACTCTGCTCCAGACTCCACCAACCTCATCTGGAGGGTCCTGCTGGACGGACGGATGAGTCCAGACGAGCTGCTGATCAACATCTCCACCAATCAGCTGCTGACGGAGGGGGACGCTCTGTTCCCACCCGGGATGGGCCTGAGTGACCCGGAGCGGGACGACCCGCTGGACCTGAACGAGACCCTTGAGTTCGCTCTGGGACACAGAGGCAACGACAGCGGAGACGACCAGAACAGAACCGCCCAGACGGGCGCGGGCCGTTCCAACAGAACCAGGTGAGATCAAACAGATGTTGGCAGGCAGACGGTGAAGCTGTCAGGGAGGCTGTTTATCAGGCAGTAAATCTGGCGGCTCAGACGGTCAGCAGGTGGACCTGCAGACAAGAACCATGTGCTGGAAACTAAGCCGCAGTCATTGTTTACTGCAGCTTTATCTGATTAGTGTGGAGGATCAACCCTACAGCAACCTAGAAATAAACAAACTGATCAACTCTCAAAATAAATGGTTGAATGGGTCATTAAATGCAATAGAATAAAAAAAAACATCTAAGGTTTATTCAACAACTAATATAAACATCAGACATAGATTAAGAGTTCTATTTTAATTGTTAGTGGTTTTAATCCCTCTTTGCTTAATTATTCACATTTTGTTTTAATTTTGGTTTCCTTTATTTATTCTAATAAATTATATTTTTTTCTCGCCATGTAATCTACGACGGAGTATATAAGAATAAAGTCACGACGAGAATAGTCATGAAATTACGAGAATAAAGTCGTAAAATGTCAAACTTGGAAACCAAGTCCAGTGGATTGTTTTTAATTTTTTTGGAATGACAAGAACCTGAATGATGGAAAACCTTCACCAGCATGTCATAAAATTATGAGAGTAAAGTCGTAAAATTATGAGAATAAAATTGTATTTTATGTTAACTCTTAGAAGAATCCCTTTCTTCCCTAAAATGAGGAATGTGGTGCATCGTGTGAAGTTCTACTTTAGCATCGGTTTGACAAATCAGGAAATCTTTTAGCAGCAGCATCAAACTGGGCAGGATGTCAAAGTGGACTCTGGCTGCTGATTGGTGGAGCTGGTCGGCCGTCATCTGCTGGGCGGAGCTCCAAGCTTTCTTCTGAAACGGGTTGTTGAACGATGACTTAATTCTTGTAATGTTACGACTTTATTCTCAAAAAAAATATATATATTTTTTTTAAATCTCTAACCTGGCCCTAATACTCCATCATAATCGGTCAACAATAGAATAGTTTTACAATAAATAACAGTCCTGAGTTTTTTTTATGGAGAGAAATTAGCTTCTCATATTATTTAAATCAAATATGTTTCAGAAAATAACATTTCGAAGAAAATATATTTTTAAATAAGGGACTTTGGAAATGTTCTGAAACAAAGAAAAAGATTTATAGAATAATGTATAATTTTCATATAAAAGTTCAACTTTTAGTTTTATAGTTTGATATTTTTTCAGGAGTATTTCCCAAATTGAATGATTTCAAGATTAGATTAGATTAGATGAGCTTTATTGATCTCACAGCAGAGAAATTCACTCGTCACATATTGGCATAGTAATTAAAGAAGGTGTAAACAAGGAGGAAAATGTGCATTAAGAATAAACAATATATATACAGTATATCAGGATTAAGGTGCAAGTGTACATGTATCACTCACAATGAAAAACAAAATAGAAATAAGGAATAAAAATAAAAAAATACAAGGGAGTAACACAGAGAGTAGCACAGAGAAATTAGTATTTTTCAGATTTTGTGTTTTTAATTTATTTTTGGGAGGGAGCAAATGACACTTCTAGATTCAGTCAGCACCTTTAGAGCGGACCAATAGAAATATTGCTAACATTCCACAGAGACCACCTACAGTCTGAAATATTTAATGCAGGATGTAAAAAGAATATAACTCCTAAAATCCTAGTTCCCCCTAGAAAATGAAGAAAAACGGTTAAACTTTTGCGTACAAATTAAAATCATTCTCATAAACGTTTTTGTTGATTGACAAGATTTCCAATGTTCAATTTTTGAAAAACATTTTCTTCCTTGAACAAATTCGAAGAACAAATCTATCCCTGAGGGACTGTTTCAGCTCCACTGTTTGGGAAGACAGCAGTGACTGCTGGCATCACAGACTAGGTTTACTTCTGTGTAGACTCTGTGACAATACTTAATTTTTCCAATACAAAGCCCTGATAAACCCTAAAATTAAAGCTTTCCTCAAAGAGAAGAAAAGAGCCCTCAGATCAAAACACAAGGAGGAGCTGAGAGCAGTGCAGAATTCGCAGGATCACGACTGAAAAAAAACACTTAGAGAGTTTTGTACTCAGCTGACTTTTCATGCTGTCTCTAAAGGAATGAAAGATTTTTTCCAAGCACTAAGCTCACTTAGCTGATTGCTCCTTCCTGTGTTTCCAAAAAGGCCAAAGTAAATAACCCAGTCCTTCTTTTCACTGTAGACAAGCCATGATCTGCTTATCTGTTCTCCATTTTTCATTTGGATGAAATAATAGCTGCATGAATCATGACAGCAGACAAGATAGAGGAGAGCAGGAGGCGGGGTTACCAATCTACTCGCTCTGGAGAGCAGAGTTCGCTGCTTTTAGATGTTGTCTCCAAAGTCTCCAGTAGCAGAAAAAAATCTCTAGATGTGGCGCTAGGAGCTTTTTAGAAATCAAAGTGCTAGAGGGGTCTGAAAAGTGGCTAAATATAGCGACTAAAGCGCTAAGTTGGCAACACTGCTCTTTGCATGGTTTGTTTTCAAATGGTTTGCTGCTGTCTGTTTGGACCTTTCTGAACATGTGCAGCAAATGGACTGATCCGCCCTAGGCAACTGCCTACTATTGCCTAATGGTAAATCCCCCCTGCATCTAGAGGTTGAAAATCCAGGTCCAGAAAGTAAAAAGCCTGTTCAGAGATTAGTTCCAACAGTTGATCAACTGGTTTAGTTAACTGGAGGATGGAAAACTAGAAATGATCTGGTGTGAGCTAACAGAATTGACAAAGACTCCTGGACAGGTGTGGAAATGTCTTCAATAAAACTAAGTGAAAATCTGGTTGCCTTCCAGTTTAGACCTGTTTGTGGTTACAAATAGATTTTCCTTTTTGGACCTGGATCATCCTCTTCTGGTTGCATCAGCCACCTTCCATTTTTAGGTATGTTGGAGCTGCAACCAAGAAAGGGCAGCTTATTAAAAATAACAGCTCTATCAAGTGGAAGGAGACAATGGGTCTGAGTGGAAGAATGACATCACTGTGGAGAGTCTTCTAATGCATTAAGATGAGCTGGAGCGCAGCTTCAGTTACTGCTGCACCCTTGATCTGGTATTTTTTCCTTCCACTAAACTTTCTATGAATATAAAGCTTTGTGTCCTTCTGTGTTCACAGGGGGAATCAAAGGTTTTACCAGAAGAACCTGAAGCTGAGTGCTGCTGACATGTACCGCTGGAAACTTTCATCCCAGGAGCCCTGCAGCATGACCTGCTCTATAGGTAACTCCCTCTGGATCAGCAATCTACCCAACAGATTCATTTAGAACCAGACACCTTCCTTATGGGTAATGCTTTGATGCATGAAAATATTTTTCTCCTAATCCTAATCCAGGCGTGTCCAAGTCCTTTGTCACGTGTGTTCGCTACGATGGGGTGGAGGTCCATGATATGTACTGTGATGCTCTGACCAAACCGGAACCGGTCCATGACTTCTGCATTGGTAGAGAGTGTCAGCCGAGGTAGAGTCCTGCTGTTATATCCGCTCTCTGCCTGTTTGCATCGGTTTTTATGTGAAGGTGATGTTCCAGGTGGGAGGCGAGCAGCTGGAGCGAGTGCTCCCGGACCTGCGGGGAGGGATTCCAGTTCCGTCAGGTGCGCTGCTGGAAGATGCTCTCTCCAGGCCTGGACAGCTCGGTCTACAGCGACCTCTGCACCATGGCTGACCTGGAGAGGCCGTTGGAAAGGCGAGCCTGTAAGAGCCCCACCTGTGGCCCCCAGTGGGAGGTAGCAGAGTGGACTGAGGTAGGACACCCCCCCAATCAGGTGTAGAAATCACTGTTGCAGATTGAAAATTACTGGTTTTGTTTCCTGGACTCAGGACCAAAGTCTTCTGGAACGTTATTTTCTTGTATTTTTAAGTTATTTTTCATCTTTATTAGCCTTTTAAATCCCTAGTTAAAGGCTACACGTTGCGTGTCATGTTCCATACAGTGCCCTGCTAAATGTGGACGTAAGGCTCAGGTGACCCGAGACGTCCGCTGCTCCGATGAGACCAGATCATGTGACCCCATGACCCAACCACCAAACGTAAAGAATTGCACCGGACCGCCCTGCGAACGCCACTGGACTGTGTCAGAGTGGGGCCCGGTGAGTCTTCCCAGCTTTCTGCTCATCTTTCTGCTCCTCTTTCCTCATCTGGAATCTGCAGAACCGTCTGACTCCTCAGATCTTTCTTCTGCTCAGTTTCCTGTCTGGCTGCTCAAACTGTAGAGATCCAAGTGTTTTCTGGGAGCTTCACCAACTCCTAGGGTATAGAGGGTCAGAGATCCTTAGAGATGAAGACTCCGTCAATGCTGGGAGCTCTGGGAAAGACTCTACTAGCATGAAGTCCATCCTCTTCTTCCATTTTCTTCCTTCTTGAACCTTCTGTTGTGACATTTCTTAGATCTGGTGTTGATACAGGCTTCATGAGTCATCCAGTGAATCGTTCTTTGTGTCTGTGGCAGTGCTCTGGCTCCTGTGGCCATGGCAGGACGGTCCGCCACGTCTACTGTAAGACCCCAGAGGGCCGTGTGGTTCCTGAGAACCAGTGCCCCCCAGAGAACAAGCCTCTGGCCATCCATCCCTGTGGAGAGAGGGACTGTGCTCCACACTGGCTGAGCCAAGACTGGGAGCGGGTGAGTCCACCACACCAGAACATGAAATCCTCATCTCCTAGAAAACAGTTGAAGTCCCTGTGAAGAGCCAGGAGAGTCCCTCTGCCTCTCTATCTGCAGTGCAACACCACATGTGGCCGTGGCGTGAAGCGGCGGATCGTCCTGTGCGCCGGCATCAGCGCAGGAAAGTTCGTCACCTTTGACGAAGAGGCATGTGGAGCCAACGAGAAGCCTGAAGAGGAAGCCACGTGCTTCGAGAGGCCGTGCTTCAAATGGTACACCACCCCCTGGTCTGAGGTACTTCTACTACCACCTCCTTCACTGCATCTGTTTGCAATTTGCAGGCTCTAAATGCTGGCTGGCTGGCATCAGTTTGAACTCTGATATGTCAAAGAGTCGATTCACAGACCTCTAGAAGAACCTTGATGTGTGTCACACTCTGTAGTTTTGATCCACTTTTCCTTGTTCTGTTTCTGTTTGCTTGCTCAGTGCACAAAGACATGCGGCGTGGGAGTGAGGATGAGGGACGTGAAGTGTTACCAGGGCAGGGAGCTGGTCCGAGGCTGCGACCCGCTCACCAAGCCGGTGGCCAAGCAGACATGCACCCTGCAGGCCTGCCCCACTGAGCCCCCAGGTGAGGAAGAGGAAGAGCTGAAAGAGTGAAGGTGTTAAATAGGAGCTGTGTGATTGGTTGATTCTAAGAAATATTCGGTTTATTAAACCTATTTTTAACCAGGAAATTCATCATTGAGATTAACAATCTGTTTTTCAAGGGATTTCTGAGAAAAAAAATCAAATAGAAAAAGTAAGTTAGAAAAAAATTACAAAATATCACATCTGAAACTTTACATAAAAACAGTTGTGGAAAGTAACAAAGTACATTCAATTGATTACTGTGATTTTTGGAGTTTCTTTGAGTATCTTTACTTGAGTCACTTTTTTTGCAGCTTCCATTTCCAGGAAGCTGCTGGTTCCTTGGTCTTTTTTGTTCAGTTTAGCTTTTTAATCCATTTTGTTTGTCTTGAAATGTAGTTTCCATCATGGCAGATAGCAGCCCTTAGGACTGAATCTGGATGCCACTGATTTAATGACGTTCCACAAATGAGAGAAACTCAGAGCAGATATTATTAGTAGTAGAAGTTCTTAAAGGTGGTGTAGACTCTATAGAAGGAGGTTCTATGCATCAGAATGCTCTGTCTTGTAGGAGCTTAGTAGGCAAAAGCAAAAAGAATGAAATTAGTTTATTTCTCCAAGGTATCCTGGTGTTAAAGGCAGCATGAGTCCATCCTTTGTCCAGCTTGTTTAACTGAGATGTTTAGCTACCATTTAAAGACATACTGTCAGACTATATGCCAGTTTGTTTCAATTTAGCGGACGCTAACTGAGATCTAGCTCTCGTCTGGGTGCTGTTAGCGGCACTTTTAACGTCGTAGGGAAATTGTATTTAAATGTCAAATCATTCTGGCTTAAACATGTATATAAATATACTCTTTATCAGACCATATTGTCCCAAAAGTTAGAACATTTATATATTTTTTTAAAATCCTGTCTTAAAATCTGTGGGGCGGGGTTTTCCGTTATCTTATGCAGGCCAGTTAGTCCTAAACACCTAAATTCGGCCAATCATATATCAACGGTCATCTGTCAATCAAATGTTTTCGGTCATAGCATCTTGATTCATGTGTCGCAGCTAATATACGCAACGGTTGAAACCAGAATCCTTTCCTTTCCCATTGAGTTGCGTCCCAGTGTTCACGGGGATGGACGTCTGTGTCTTCGGCAGGCGTAGAGCTAACAGAACTGGCAGCGTTGCGAGGCAAGGGCTCAAACATGTACGGCTGGAAGCCTTCTACACCAAACCAAGCTTCTGCCGCCCTGGCGTCCTCTTCCACAACATCTTCGTCCCCGCTTTCCTCCTCTAAATAAAAAATGGATGACGGAGGAGACTCATCCACGACCTCCGACACTAAACTCTCCTCCTCTTGCATGTTTCCGCTGTCCATAGCGTTCCTTGACAGCGTCGTTTCTAAGTCACCAATTTAGTGCTACTTGGTCCCAATGGAATTTCCCATTTTGAACCTGCTAGCACTAAGTTGCTAACTGGTTAGCAAGATGCTTCCGACAAACCGGCCACAACCAAATCTGCTTGCGAACCTTCCTCCACAACAGTCCCGCCCCCTTGATAATCGACCAATCACATTCACTTTATTCACTCTTGTAAAGTCGGGCACCACTCGGGAGAATTCAGAAATCCAACGGTTGGAACGGCCGCTTCCCTACGACTTTAAACAGGTGGTTCTGGAGCTGGTTGCTCTCAGAGGAATGTTAAAAATTTATTCTGTGAAGCTCACTAACTCACTAAAGCCTTCTCCGTCTACAGTGCTAATAATCTATTCTGTTTCTATTCTGTTTCAAATGTTCAGCCTAATGCCTTCCACTTCTATATCATCTTCTCCATCTGAGCTCAGCATAAAAGTTCTGCTTCTCCTCCATGGAGCACAGCTAAATGGGAGCTATTAAATTTATCCAGTGTTTATATTTATAAACAGGACCACACAAGGTTAATTCTGCATCCTCTTCGCCATCGAACAGTGGAAATAATTAATCCATTTATAAATTCCTTACATCGGTAAGGACACTTATGCCACAACAGAAGTGCATTTGGTTGTCGTAATAAGTGCTGTCCGAATAGTCCTGGTAGAAAGCACAAAGATCAGGAAGCAGGAGGCTTCCTAGCACCATTGTAGTTAGCATGGGGATGTCCCTAGCAACTGTTGGGAGCTTTATGGTTTCCCACAAACCTTTGCTTGACAGGAGGCCAACCTCAGAGAGTTTAACAAATGCACATTATTTTATGACATCTACTCTGTGTGACACATGCGATTGTGTGGTGGAGAACTGTTTTCTCTTGCTGTTTTTTCAGAAGGCTGTAGTCCCAGTTTGACAAGCGTCATCAACGTGTGTGTCCATCATGTAAAGACATCTGTTAGGCTGAAGGCTGTCTGAATTCAGCATGGCAGCCTTGAGCCGCTTTCCTATCCGTGAAAGAGTTGTAACTACATGCCGTATTTTTGTGCCACTGACCTAAACACGCAGTTACCGTTCTGAGCAACTAGTGAGACTGATGTGCTGAGTTTACACTCTGCCCCGTTCGCTCAGTACGTTTCTGCTGCATGCTCAACTCTAACAAACACGATCACAGAGATGAAGCTGATTGAACGAGCAGGGATCGGGCCGAGCGAGCACGGAGACCAACACAAAGTAAAGGAGTGAATTAGGAGCATAGGTGGCAAAGCAGACCTGGTCAGAGTGGGGATTGCGGCAGACTGATCTTGAGCAAGGTGGGAGTATAAAAGCTGTCCATCAGTCTCACTGCGAACTCAGACTGTTACTGTGGCACAAAAACGAAGCCATATAACTGTTGACCCCATGAAAGGTGAAAGAGTAGGAGCTACAAGTTGGAGCTTCTGGTCTGGCTTTACTTGTCTTGCAAACACCTGTGAGGCTACACTGATGCAACGTTCAGACCGCACGCTGAAGAAGCAGCAGAAGCAGCTAGTTTACATGCAAAGTCAATAGTTGACGTGCATCAAGGTGCAGCGAAAGGCCTCACGAACTTCTGAGCATCTGACGCGCTTCAGAAGCAGCAGCTGCTGGAGTTGGAAAAATTTAACTTTTGGGACGGCAGGTCGTCAAACTGGGTTCGGGGTGAGACGACGGTAGCGCTGGAAGCGACTCTCGTCGGCTCTGAGTTCCTGAAGTAGATGGTGAAACTCTCCACAAACCGAACGGCTTTGAATTATCTTGTGAATCCAGATAGGTAGAAGACGCGCCCGACAAAGGTGTTCTCTAGCTTTATTCATTAAAATAAGCCCAGCGAGTCTCTCGATTTCATCCACCATTGTTACTGGCAAAGAAAGGATAGGGTAGCTCCGCCCAACGCGCATCAGACTCACTGGTTTACCGCGCAGCCAGAGCAGCAAAGATGCTTCAGCCGCGCGTCAGAACTAAACTTTTACAAGCATAAAAAATGAAGCTGTTTTTGCTGCTTCTGCTGCGTGCGGTCTGTACGTAGCATTACAGGACAGCGGTGCCCTCTAGTGGACAACATTGCAAGTGAAAGAAATTCCATCCAAGCCGATGTTTTCTGTCAATCAGACGGAACAAATTTTAATCTAATGAACCCTAAATTGACAATCATTAATCGATGGTTTGTTTACGCCCCTAATCCAGATGAGAGCTGCCAGGACCGACCCTCCACCAACTGCCTGCTGGCTCTGAAGGTCAACCTCTGCAGCCACTGGTACTACAGCAAGGCCTGCTGCCACTCCTGCCGAGCCGTTCGACCGTAGGCGTCCGGGACACCCCACTGCAGCATCCAGCTCTCAGCATCACCATGAGGAACCACATGGCGCTTCCTGACCTGAGAGGGGCGATGTAATCTTTATGCAAGCAGTGCTTTTCCCTTTGCATACCGTGCACATTCTCCCTTCCTTCAAGCCCGCTCTGATTAAACCTTTATCCGGCTTTCCAGTTAAAATCATTGTTGATTATTTTGTACCCTTTTGTACGGAAGCCCACAGGGTTCGTCTCCCTTTGATACTTTTTCATTGTGGATTTCTCGAGAAAACAAGTGAATTTTATCATTATCTAAAGATAACGAAAGACGTTTTCTCGTGATTACGAGATGATTGGTTTGTGTTAAAACTGATTACATCCTTCAATACCACAACAGTAGGAGAGGATTTATAAGTCATGGCGGCCTATGTGTAATTCTGTAAATAATCCCGTGTTTAAGTTTTAGGTAACGAGACGATGTTGCTGGTTTGATGATTTGCTTACACTTCTGATTCATAAAGCTGTATAAATCTTTTTGCCATTTTCGGGCAGATTCTCCAGCTGTGTAAGAATTTTCCGATCGGGCCAACTTTCAGCCTGATGGTGCGTAGTGTAGTCTACGGGGGTAACAAGGGCCGATCTGCCTCTCACGACCACCTCCCCATCAGGAATCGTAAGGTCGGGAGAAAACCAAACATGTTTGAAATTCAGTCGGCCATCTTAAGGTGGTCGTGGGCAAATCGCTCAGTGGGCAAACAAGGATTCTTTTTCTTCTTCTCAAAAGGAAAACCCAGCAGCATGGCGGGGGTGCAAGTGAAATGAAGTTCTTTCTGAAAAATTGACAGACCGTAGTAGCCACGTTTGCTCAGCCATGTCTTTGTCCAAATACGTCGTCTCCTTTTCTTTTTAGGGCTTTCAGCACAAAATTGCCCAAATATCCAAGGCAGCGCGTTTCACTCTAGTGAGCCACATGTTCCTCTTCTAATGGTTTAGCTTCCAGATAGACGAGTCCAAGTAGCGCTGACTGCATCAGAGCGTCGGGTCGCACAGTGTGAGAACATACATAGTGAGCTGTGAACTTTAAAGTCTTGCAGTTTCGTCGTACAGTGTGAGCTGTAGCTTTGTGCAACAACTGAAAATATCGTACAGTGTATGCTCGGCTTAAGCAATTAGAAATTAGCCTCCGACGCCTTAGTGCCCCTGTTCTGCAGGGATTAAATTATTCCAGCCCCAGGCCGGATTTCTTAGCCTGGATGCCATTGCGAACTTAGAACTTAAGTTCGGACTGGCATTGCTCAATAGTAGCGCGAGTATGCTAGCACAATATCTGGCGGGCCAATCAAATTGTCAGGGCAGGCTTTATACGATGATGGACAGATGATCAACAGTAACGTAATCAACCACGTGACCAAAGCACGCTTGGGTGACAACAACAATGGCTGCCGCTGGAGAGTTGAGGTGAGTAGATTCTGCTATTAGGTCTGTTCTAGAAGATATCGACAGCAAATTAATTTTAAAAGAGGAACAGAGAAACGCGATCAAGGCTCATCTTCTTATTCTAGGCGTGAAACTGCACGCTTTAATTTTTGTTGGCAACAACTATGTGTTACTTAACATGCGTCACGCACTCCGTTGCTCTTATTGGTTGTAGGTCTATCCAATTGAGTGCAGAGGCATTTTTTTTCCTGGTTCGTTCGAAACACGCCCCATAATCACAGCTCTATGGAGCAGCATCAGACTCATTCTGACTAGAATTGAGTAGGACTACGTCAGGCTACGGATTTCTGGCTCATGGTAAAAAAAATCACTCGAAAATAAATTGATGGTAAATAAATTTTAAAAAGACAATCGAAATCCCCCTTGCGTTTGTCAGCCGATGCACTTCATGAACACCGGCACGCTGCGCTCGAAGAAGCTTATTTACGCATTCCAGTGGCAAAATGGTGCTACGCAAACATGAATAATACGCTGGTCATCGTGCTGCTGTTTGTGCGGCTGCGCACACTACACGTTAGCTGGGAGCTACGGCAACAGCTGATGTACCAGCATCAATAACTGACCGTGTATGCGAGTTAAAAATAAGGGTTTGTGCTTTCCTCGCCGCACAAAACCTCTTATTCACACCTGATATAGATGCACTCTTGCCAGCTTCTGGCCGTTTTTGGTAGTGGATTTTCAAAAGTCAAATTTAGTCTTCAGTCATTCATGCAATAATTGGAAATACACACGCACAGGGCCATATATTTATATATATTTATATATAAATAAATAAAAAAACATATATGGGCGTGTGTGTCGAAAAAGTTCAGGCTTTAATCCCTAGTTCTGTTACCAGGCTGAACAGCTCCAGTGTTACGCCTCAACAGGTCTAGGATGCATTAACCCCCAAAATGAGTCCAGATAGAGGATTTTCATTAATAGTCCGATTTGTTTCTACCGTATCCATGCAACCCACCACGACAATGAGTGAAAAGTTTTTTGCGCAGATATCACGGATTATTTGCACACATGCAGTGCCTGGACTGCACAACTACGGCCCCCGCAGGCATGGATGGACTGGGAATCCAGGGCTGTTGGCCTGCCTCCTTCATTACTCACACAGGTTAATCAACTCGTTATCTGAAGAAATCAATAACTGTTTTCTTGTGATAACGAGATAATTATCTCGTTATCACAAGAAAACAATTAATGGTTTAAACGTGATAACGAGATAGTTACGTCATTATCTCGAGAAGGCAAAGGCAAAGAAAAAAAAGTGGAGTATGACCACTCTAGGCTTCCGTACTTTTGATATTAAAGCTGTATTCCACTCAGCAACTATAAAACCCTATAGTTCTCATCCACCTTTGATAGAACGTTATCGCCCCCTCTGGCCTGGCATGCTTATTTCAGATGCAGCACATTTCAAGGCCTTGTGTTTGTAGAGCAGCTACTGTGAATAATGAAGGAAGTGTTAAAGAGCAGAACTTTTTTGGATAGTTTAGGTTCTTTTTTTAATCTTATCATGATGTTTCTGTCTTGCTATATAGACTGTAAGCTCTTTTGTATCAGCTGTTATTGAATATTTATCTGTTATCAGTTCTGCTGTGAAGCTGGAGAGGATGTTCCACCTTCTGTTGAGTTCATCGCTGCAGCGCAGAGACTAACTTATTCCCCAGCTGAATATACTGCATGATTCTGTTCATAAAATCCCTGTTTAAGGTCGTTTTGGCGTCCGGCTCGCTGCCATTGCCCCGTAAGAAACATTCCCGCTTCCCCAGCTGCTGTTTGGGGCGGCGCCGGCACGCCTGCGCGACGTGGGAGAGTATTTATTAGTTGTAGCATATTTTCATTTATCATGACGGTCCCGATGCCAGCCGACGGTTCTTCATCGGGTCAACTGATGCCGGTTCTGGTCTGGTCTCCTTGGAGACCGGGCGGAAAGTTTCCTGACACTTGAAGTATGGCTGAAATGTATTCAGATGTGTATTTTAAGCTGTTGTGTACTGTGTGTTTTTATATAACTGATACCTCTTTGTACAAAACAGAAGTATGGACATTTTTTACTGTTGATAGTAGCTGAAAACATGAAGGTACTTTTATTTCCTTTAAATAAAACTCTGAATGAACGGATTTGCCTTTTCTAATCTTTATATGAGTTTAAATGAGGCAGAGTCGGGTGCAGATGTGAGGTTTGTGGTTGTTTTTATCCCCTGGAGTGATTCTGTTTGACTCTACCTTCATAAAATTAACCTTTAATTCTCTTGAGTTTTGTTGAAAAACTGACTTTTTCAAACAAAATCAAATAATTTAAACTGATTTTATGAATGATGATCAGAGGTTCTGAGGCTGGTACCCCAAACCGTTAGATAATTTCACTAAGGGAGGTTAAACGGAAGCAGCTGTCGCCCCCTGCTGGTGGGCGGGGCAGCATCTCATCGGCTGAAACTCATAAAAAACATAAGCAGCTAATCTGGTAAAACCAAAAAATTATTTAACTAAAAGCTGGGGCGGGTCCAACTGGGAAAAACATAAACTTTGAAGGTCAATTTATCCTGAACATTTCCTCTTAATTTAAAGGTATAGAGGAGGATCTTTTATTTCCGGGTGGATCATCTAAATAAGTGGTGCTCCTAATTGTCAGTCATTCTTGTGATATGTTTACATAAGGCCGTCCTACGTGATCATCCTGTTAGCTATCTTTTTCTGCGCACTTTCAGACGTATAACTGTGGTGAGCTACGGTTTCAGTCAGTCATTGAAGCTCACTTTTCTCACCGCGGTTCTTTGAAAATGGCCGAGGGTCAGAAGAGAAAAAGTTTCTACGAGGTTGATGAGAAGAAAAGAAAGGCCTCAGAAGAGGCAGATACATCCCAGAATGCTTTGCGCTGAGAGCTCTTCTCGCAAAGCGTTACAATACCTTTAAGCAAGTAAGTGATACAAGTTGCCTATTAAACAAGTTTAAAAAGAGAGAAAAACCCACTCATTTGAGTGCATGATATCTAATTTTAAAAACTAAAATCCAGCTCTGCAGTGTCCTACTCATAGGAGCTTCCTTTGAAACAACAAAGAAGTGTATTGTGAAAATATGTTTGACTTTGTTTTACAACTTGTTTAGAAATGATTTCACACCACCGGTTAATTCTTTAATGAAAAGGAAACATCTACAGAGAATTTCTGCATCCTTTTAGATTCATGTGAGACGCTTGTGTTTGATGCGGCTCCAGCAGGTCTGATATTGTTGTTGAGTTCCTCAAAACCTCCACCTGATCCAGCTCAGTCACATTCCAACAACAAACATGGATGAACTTTATTAGGATTTAAAGTACTGAACAGACATATAGAAGGAAAGTGATACACAGTCATTAAGGCATTTAACGGGGCCCATAAAGAACCTCTAGTTACACCAAATGCCTTTGGAAGTCATATGGTTAGTTAATAAACTTCAGATGTTTGCAGAATGAACGCAGATCCATCAGTTTTTAAGAGGTTTGTTAGTGAAAAACCAGATCCTAGACATGACTGAAGCTTTTCAGAGATGAAATCAGTTCTGCCGCTGTGCTAAAACTACTGTGTTCAACAGCAAAATAAGAAGGTTTTCTGTTTCATTTAGCATCTCTTCTGCAACAAATGAGAACATCTCACACTGCAAAAACAAAAAAAAGGAAATCTCAATAAGTCATTTTTTCTTAAAGGAAAAGTCCGGTTATATTCAGGATTCAAACTTCTGAAAGTCTTTTAAATCTGAAATGATTCCATCCTGTTCAATAAATGATCAGTGTTTTTAATTCAGAGTAATTTCCATGTGAATGTGCTTTACTGGAGGCATCCATGTTTGTCAAAGAACACTACTGCCACCTACTGGTTAGTGACGTCACGGTGCGGTATCGGCTGTTGATCAAGTCCCAGTGCTGTATCTGGTGTTTGTCACAACGCGCTATTATCCAAGTCATCTTGAAAACATTCTTCTTCCAAATGTTGGCTACATATTCCGGTTTTTTCTCTGGCCAGAAGTTCGATGGCAAATCCTCCCTCTTCAAGTTGGACATTTTTTTTTTTGCAGTGCAGTTAATTGCAATAAAGAAGCAATGTTTTTACTGCTTGTTGGCCAAAGCCAATAGACTTGGTCTGAGTGAAATCTCTTAATTCAAACAAAGTCATCTTAAACAATTTCGGCAAACGGTTTCTCTTTATTTGTCCTTTATTTTGGTTTGAAGCGTTTGTTCCATTATAATACACTTCAGTCATGCATGGTTCATTTCTGGATTCATAAAAGAACATTTTCTAAATTTGTTCATTTACTTATTAATTATATTAATGAACTTTCTAATGTTCCTGGGAAATATAAAACAGTTTCATCGAGGGGGAAACATCTCATTCTAAGGATATTAAGGTGTTTATTTTAGGAGTTTAAGTGATGTCAAACACTGAGTATTAAATGAAGTGAGGAAGGTTGAACATTTGAAACAGTGGATCTCTTCACACACAGGGAGGAGAAAAGGTACATTTCTTTATCTGAACACAAATGAAAAAACTGGAAAAAATCAAAATCTAGATAAGTCATTTTTTCTTAAAATAAGAGCATTTGTTGTTGAATTAAGAAGCTAAAAGAGAATTCTGCCAATGGATCAAGACAATGTAGATTTAAAAGAAGAAAACACAATTGCATTGTCTTATTTCAAGTGCATGTTATCTAATTATCTAATTTTAAGAGTAAAAATACTCATTCCATTGGCAAACTATCTCATTTACCTACTCAAATTAAGCGTAAATACCTTAATTTAAGAAATTTTAACTTATTTCTATATCGTTTTTTTCAGTGTACGTAAGTGAAAAATGCGAACATCTACTTCCAGCCGTTGAAAAGTGGCGAGCGGGCCTGAGGCAGCTGCTGCTGGGGATTCCCAGTG